CAACAATTTTCTCCTTGAAAGTCAGGCATCTTTTTGGAGGTTCGATGTTTGATGGAAACGGTTTTAGTACCCTCTGGATGTGTTCTTGTTGAATGATCTTGGTAGCATCCGTTGCCCATGTGATTCTTCAATATTGCCAAACCTTCGGATTTCCGTGCTTGGTTTGGTCAAGGAGTAAGCAAGGAAAAACAAGGATGCCGGCTGTCTCGCCGCCCCCAGAAGGGTCAACGACTCATTTCCCCTTTTTTTTTTTGGAAATTTGCTTCTCGCTGTGGTTTCGGAGTGATGCACTGTCTGTTTCACCTGAACCAGAGCTTCAAATTCACTGTGTTTTCCAAGGCTTTTTGTTCCTCTTTTCAAATGTACTGTTTTTTTCCATGGAAAGTAAGGGTTTTTTTTGTAAGGTCCGAAAAAAAGTTTATTTTTTTGAAGTTTATGCAGGAGATATACATTTACACATATCTATCTGTCTGTCTGTCTGTCTATCTATCTATCTATCTATGTCCATGTGCTTGTACATCGAACGCTCAATATTGTCATTTCCATGCGAGACAACGACAACATGTGTGCAAATTACAAGGAACGTTAACATGCCCCACCCCGCCCCAACCCTTCAGTTTCGTAGCATTACAACATGTGTGCAAATGACAAGGAACGTTAACATGCCCCACCCCACCCCAACCCTTCAGTAACGTAGCATCCAACAATCCAACATGTGTGCAAATTACAAGGAACGTTAACATGCCCCACCCCACCCCAACCCTTCAGTTTCGTAGCATTACAGCATGTGTGCAAATTACAAGGAACGTTAACATGCCCCACCCCACCCCAACCCTCCAGCTTCGCAAATTACAAGGAACGTTAACATGCCCCACCCCGGCCCCCCCCAACCCTTCAAGTTTAGTAAGGCATTACAACATTGTGTGCAATTTACAAGGACGGTTAACATGCCCCACCCCACCCCAACCCTTCAGTAAACGTTAGAGCATTCAAACATGTGTTGCAAATTACAAGGAACGTTAACATTGCCCACACAACCCCAACCTTTTCATTTCGTTAGCATTACAATATGTGTGCAAATTACAAGGACCGTTTAACATGCCCCACCCCAACCCCACCCCTTCAGTAACGTTTAGATCCAAACATGTGTGAAATACAAGGAACGTAACATGCCCCCACCCCACCCACCCCCAACCCTCGTTTACGTTAGCATTTACGCATGTGTGCAAATACAAGGAACGTTAACAGGGCCCCCACACACCCCCCCCACCCTTCAGTTTCGTAGCATTTACAACATGTGTGCAAATTACAAGGAACGTTAACATGCCCCACCCCACCCCACCCCTTCAGTAACGTAGCATCCAACATGTGTGCAAATTACAAGGAACGTTAACATGCCCCACCCCACCCCAACCCTCCAGTTACGTGGCATTACAACATGTGTGCAAATTACAAGGAACGTTAACATGCCCCACCCCGCCCCAACCCTTCAGTTTCGTAGCATTACAATATGTGTGCAAATTACAAGGAACGTTAACATGCCCCACCCCACCCCAACCCTTCAGTAACGTAGCATTCCAACATGTGTGCAAATTACAAGGAACGTTAAAACATGCACCACCCAACCCACCCCCACCCTTCAGTTACGTAGCATACAGCAGGTGTTGCAAATTACAACGGAACGGTTAACATGCCCACCCCACCCCAACCCCTCCCCAGCTTCGTAGCATTACAACTGTGTGAAAATTACCAAGAAACGTTAACATGCCCCACCCCACACCAAACGTTCAGAAGTAGATCCAACATGTGTGCCCAAATTTACCAAGGGAAACGTTACACAGGCCCCACCCCACCCCAACCCTCAGGTACGTGGATTACAACATGTGTGCAAATTTACAAGGAACGTTAACATGCCCACCCCGCCCAAAACCTTTCAGTTTCGTCAAGCATTACAACATGTGTGCAAATTTCCAAGGAACGTTAGCATGCCCCACCCCACCCTAACCCTTCAGTTGCGTAGCGTCCAACATGTGTGCAACGTGCAAGGACCGTTAACATGCCCCACCCCACCCTAACCCTTCAGTTGCGTAGCGTCCAACATGTGTGCAACCTACAAGGAACGTTAACATGCCCCACCCCACCCGAACCCTTCAGTTGCGTAGCGTCCAACATGTGTGCAATGTGCAAGGAACGTTAACATGCCCCACCCCACCCTAACCCTTCAGTTGCGTAGCATCCTTCAGTTGCGTAGCATCCAACATGTCGGCAACGTACAAGGAACGTTAACATGCCCCACCCCACCCTAACCCTTCAGTTGCGTAGCGTCCAACATGTGTACAACGTGCAAGGAACGTTAACATGCCCACCCCACCCCAACCCTCCAGCTTAGTGTGGCATTACAAACATGTGGCAAATTTACAAAGGAGAAAGTTGAAACATGCCCCACCCCCAACCCAACCTCCCCTTCAGCTAAACGTTAGCCCATAAGGCATCCAACATGTGTGCAACGTACAAGGAACGTTAACATGCCCCACCCCACCCCAACCCTTCAGTAACGTAGCATCCAGCATGTGTGCCACTTACAAGGAACGTTAACATGCCCCACCCCACCCCAACCCTTCAGTAACGTAGCATCCAACATGTGTGCAACGTACAAGGAACGTTAACATGCCCCACCCCACCCCAACCCTTCAGTAACGTAGCATCCAACATGTGTGCAACGTACAAGGAACGTTAACATGCCCCACCCCACCCCAACCCTTCAGTAACGTAGCATCCAACATGTGTGCCACTTACAAGGAACGTTAACATGCCCCACCCCACCCCAACCCTTCAGTAACGTAGCATCCAACATGTGTGCAACACTTAACATGCCCCACCCCACCCCAACCCTTCAGTAACGTAGCATCCAACATGTGTGCAATTACAAGGAACGTTAACATGCCCCACCCCACCCCAACCCTTCAGTTACGTAGCATCCAACATGTGTGCAAATTACAAGGAACGTTAACATGCCCCACCCCACCCCAACCCAGTTCAAAAATAACAACACCAAAAACAACAAGAAAAATGTTAATATGGGGATAGATCAATACCTGTCATACCATATGATATTTGGAGGGGATTTAACCCCCATTTACAAGCTAGTTTGCTGTTCATCCGGGGCAGCAGGTCACAGATATCGTCGTTGCGGCTGAATTTGAGGGCTTTCTTTCTCCTGAGAACGTCTATGAAATTTGAAACGTACAGACGTATATGCACATGCACATACAAAAGCGCATGCGCAAACACATGCACACATGTAATCACACATACACATACAATAACACATACAATAACACATACAATAACACATACGCATTCAAGCGCACATAGACACATACATATCTACACATACTCATACACATCTATTCATACACACTTACCCATGGCGGCATCCTCTTCAGCCATGGGGGTCTCTGCGGAGACTGCGGAGGAGGTGGATCCGGAGAAGGAGGTGTGGGCGGTGCCGCCAGCCTATTTGCGGCGTCCAACACTGCAGCCGAGGGAATGTCGGAAGATGGCGGGGGGATTGGTCAACATTGTCAGAAGTGAACAGGTGACCAAATCGGATGGGGTCGGGGCATGGATCCAGGACACGCATTATAGCTACAAGCAGGCAGCTCCAATGGCAGTCGCCTGGCGTCAAGTGGAACAATGGCTCTTGAACCGAGATTTCAAATTCTCGGTCGAGAACTCTTGTGAGCTTGCAGCGATGACACATCCATCAGCGTGGCCTGTGAACCTTCGGTTGGCCAAGCAGCTCAACCCTGGCCTTGAATTTCCTGGGGGTGATCTCCCATCCAGCCGGCCAGGAGAAGAAGAGTGGCGCTTCTTCCCGCTGCAAGTCCCGCCTCCTGTGTCTGAGGGTCTGGCAGAGAAACTCAAACTCCACAAATCTGTGCCTCGGTGGTCTTCTGGTTGGGTTCTTGAATGGCACGGATCCTCTCTGTATGGGGTGAGCTCGGCCCTTTCAATCGGAGAAGTGTTGGCGAGCGAAGTGAATTCCCACAAGGGCTTTGGCACGGCGTGTGGCCGTGGGGCGTACGCCTCGCGGTCACACGCCGTTGCCACCAAGTACGCGACAACCCACTTCTTCGGCGACTACCGCAAGCCAGAACACAATTTTGTGGTGAAGGCCGTCGTCCTCTGCGCCATCCCGGGAAGCACTCCAGAAGCGCTCCCGGAGGCAATGTGGACGCACGTGCCGAAGGATAAAAGGAAACACGGCCGGGCCTTTGAGCTGGATGTCCAAGACGATCGGTTGGACAAGTCCAAGATGAGGCTGGTTGACAGTGGCACCAGCCGAGAAAAGGACTGGACGTGCCAGAACCCGGCCGAGTACTTTCAAACCACTTCTTCTCGCGCCTATACGATCGGCCTGGCCACTGGTGTTATGGAGGCTTTGAGGGCGAACCATTACTGGGGTGGATTTAGTAAGGTTCTTTGTGCTGATTGATGGTGCTTCTGTGATGAAGTGATTGGCGTTGCTTTTATTTAGTGGGTGGTAATGTGGATTTAAAACTGAAGAATGGTGTTCCGGATGTTTACAAATCGATCAGTTATAATTAAAAAACAAATATGACTGATGCTAAGCGTCACTGTGCAAAGATCCGATGTGTATAGTAGGTGATTCTTGTGTTTTTGTTGTGGCACAGAGCCCCTCCCCGCTCTGCGCGGTGGCGCCCTCCACAAACTTTACAGCGGCGCCTCCCATAAATTTTAACAAAGGAGGCAACACCTCCTTGAAAACAGCTTGTGCGCAGGAGACCTTGCAAGGCCTTCCTTATGATGTCTGTCGAGCTATGATCAATCAATAACTTTGGCGTTACAGGAGGTTTCGATCTTAAGGGCGATGTCCTCCTTGAAAGTTTGTGGGTCGTTCTCGGGGCCACTGTGTTTATGCGAAAGCGAGCAGCACCAAAGGACATTTGTTCAGCTCACATGCCTCAGTCTCGAACCTAAATAGCAGAAGAACTTTGGTGAAGTCGAAACTTCATATGCACCAACAAGTCGTCCAGGCAAGCGAAACAGCCTTCGAAATGCGGCGCCTGGGGCAGCAGGTCATGAGGCATGGCGTTGATGGCGCCCAAAAGAAAAGAAGCAGCGCTATCCAACTCACCAACCTTTCCTGCAAGCAACTCGCGCGATGTCAAAGCTGGACATTTCTCGATCTTCTCTTGCATAGGCTGGATTTGTCCAGACCTGGTGTAAAGGTGAGCGGTCCATGTACAGTCTGTGGGCTCTGTGTCAGGGCGGTCCAGCGTCATCTGAAGGATGGTCAAAAACATGATGGCACAGGCAAGCGCACATGACCTAGTGCGGTCTTCCTTGAAGAAAGGCTGGCAAAAAATCAAAGCCTCACGAGCATTTTCCAGCTCGAACGCGCTCTTCTCCTTGAGTGCTGGATCCCACCGCAAGAAGGCTTGGACCCCCAACTGCAAGTCAGCTCTGTTGAGGACACCTTGGGGCAATCTCTTCTCACCTGCTGCTGCCATGTTGCAAGTTAGACTAGTTTTGTGAGCCAAAAAACCTGGGTCGAATGGGTCGATGTGATGGACAAAGCAAAACCGAGGTTGAATTGCATTGCGGCAATGTTCAGCACTGAATGTGCAAGCAATGTGGTAACCACGGCTAGCGCAGCTGACTCAAATGATTTTCAACAGGTCAAACTGGAAACATGCCGCCTATTCTTCAAAGAATGCCACGTGCTTGGAAAATGCATCGCACTAAGCGTCGCACTACACAAACAGACATGGCGTTGCCAATCATATGTCCTAATACCCTTTGTGGAAAACGTTGAAGTTCTTCAACATCTCCAGGCTTGTAGGCCCCAGGCCACACGCCTTGAAGCAAAAAAAAAACTATCGGGGTGAGGAACCTCTGGCCTTGATGCCACCAGTAGCAATGCTTTCCTTTGCATCTGGTGGCAGTGAGGCAGGGGCATTTGTCCTCCATCCAAGTTGCTGAAGAACCGCCTGTGTCGACAATGAAGTCAGAGTCTTGTTTGGCCGGATTCTTGTCCAAAAAGTCTTGAAACTGGATCAAGTTCTTGCGGGCTGTGCTGGATAGAGCTGAGCCGTCGACATCGTGTGTCTTCTCCCGCAAGTTGCACTTCCATTCCATGGCAGGATTGCCAAGGAGCTGCTTGAGCGTGAGCCGCTCCTTGAAAGGCACTGGCCACTCAAAGTGCTTCACTTGCACGTCTCGGCGAATACCGATGATATAGACCCGTTCGCGGTGCTGCGGAATTCCGAAGTGCTGTGTGTCCAGCAGCTTGTAATAAACATTGTAGCCTGCAGCACACCATGGCAGAGCTTCTGCGAGCCACTATGCGGTTGAAACAATTAAAAAAGAAGATGCGTTCACAAAACATTCTGAAGCAAGATAAGAGGCATTGCTCACCATTGGGAAGCTGAATGTCTCTCAAAGCTTGGATCAGCCAGTTGAATTCCTTGGGAAAGAGTGACGGGAGGCCCTTTACATTCTCGGAGATAAAGCTGCGAGGCTTGTGCTTTTCAATTTGAAAAGGGATCAGAGCCATGAGACCGCCTCTGGAATCTGCAGCCCCAGACTTACTACCGGCAAGACTCCAACTTTGACATGGGCTGCCGACCGCGTAAAGGTCAACATCAAACCACACACGCCCAAGATGCAATGTGTTCTCCATGTCGTTCTCCAACTGCTGGGGCTTGACAAACTCAGAAATGAATTTCCTTCAGGGAGATTAAAAAATCACTTTGAAAAAAAAAGAACCCCATCATCATTGTAAATTAATTACTTGTACTCCTGAAGTTGGAATCAATTTCAGAAGTGTAGATGTGCTTCACATTGACAGATGAAGGCAAGTTCACTCGCACCGCTGGCCCTTCAGTGCAAAGACCAGAGCAGTCAGAAGCCAGCGTGACTTCGGCCGGGGTGTTTGGAGGCTGCGCAGCTATGAGGTTCACTTTGCCAGGCTCTGCTGGGAGCAGCGTGGTCTTGGCAGTCTTGCTTGCGCCTCCCTGGTCTGAAGCTGGCCGCTTGGTTGCTTTTCTACTCTCGGTTTCTGTCGCTGGTGGTAGGGGGGTCTTTGCGCGCCCACTGGCCGTGGCTCTCGGCTTGGACAACCGCGGCGCCATGATGGAATAAACCTACCAAAAAAAATCTTGCTGAAACGACAGCGGCCATGTGTGCGATGTGGCTGGTCTCTCTGATTGACAGCGCCATGCGCAGCGACTCAAACGGAAAAGGGGTTGCTGCAAAGACCTTTTCCTTCCAATTTTTGAGCTGTGAATGCAAAACCACAGCTACTCTGTCAGTCAGCCTTGTCCAAATGAATCTTCGACCTCTTGTCAGGTCGGGCCAAACGCCTCAAAGACCATTTCGCGCCGATCGTGATCCTCATCCCAAAAATATCACTGGCCTTGCTGCTGGAGGCTCGCCAACTGAGCCCTGAACTCATTCAGCACAGACGCTGCTGTGCCACTGTCATTGCCACTGGTATTGGGTGGGTTGCCAGTCGTTCCGCTAGAGGCTGGATGGCTGACGCCTTGCTGCTCTGCCGTCCTTGCACCGCTTGGCTGAGACGACCGGCCAGCGCGATCTCCTCCCAAACCTGACTGACGCGCTGAAAATACATTTGAATGAAAGGCGCTACACCAAAAACAAACAAAAGGCCGAGCAACTTGCAGCCAACTTGGGTTCGAACACGCTTTCGGAAGAAGAGAGCATGCGCAGCATGATCTCAGTGACAATGCGGTCTTGGACCTGGGTCAAATGATCTTCAGTGAGGCAGAGACCGCAGTAAGGCATGCGACTCAAAGCGCACGCCAGGGCCATGTTCCCATCGCCAGCTCCAGCGTCCACCACGGCAGCCAGGTTGTAACTGGCCAAAAGCTCAAGGCAAAGGCTCAAAGGACGGCTATGCCAAAACACGGGCTCTTCAGTGTTGAGCTTGCGGTTGCTGACTCCACGATGGCTCTCTGCTTCCCCGGTGGTGCGACCACCAACGGACACCCGGTACTTGCCAAACAAAGTGATTTTGTCCTGCCCACAAATGCAGTGGCAAGGGAAAAAGGCCAAAAAAAAGCCTGCACCCCCCTTCTAAAAAATCTTCAATCCATGCCTTCAAAGCCATAGACCAAAGCAATTTGGGGCTCTCCAACAACACGTCTCCGATCTTGTTCCCGAAGTTGGTCCCCTTGTAGATCTTGCGGTTTGTTTTGGTCATGGCGTCTCCAAAATTCTCAGCAGTCACCAGCGTCATTAGCTCAACTTGCTGAAAAGTCGTTGAGTTTGCTTTGATGTACTGCCGGCGTTGCTTGAGACTTTCCTCATCATAGGAGATGAAGACACCGAAGGAGTTTTTGTTCAAGGCATCTCCGGCTGGAGTCTGGAAAGAACCTAGCACTTTGTTCAAATTGCCAGGCAAGAACGAATCAAAGTAGATAAAGAGGTCGCGATGGTGCAAGGTCAGCTGCTGCTTGTCCCTGGACTTGACCACTGACGCCAAGAAGGTCTTCAAGTACTGCTGGTTCAACGGGCAAACACGAATGTGTGGGTTCGTCACAGCTTCACCCCACTGAGCAGGATCCAGCAAGATTCCCACCCACTGATTACCACCACCTCTGACTTGGCAAGCAGCTGCTTTGTCAAAGTACGCGCACAACTCATTCTCTGACGGTTGGAAGACAAAGAGCTGGACGTTGGAAGCCATGAGGTTGCGAGCTTTGTCCTCGAAGTACTGAATCTGCGCCAGAGTCTCTTCATTCTTGATCTCCCCGATTTTGGCCTGCACATCCCCCAGGAATGCCTTGAAAGCAGCACTTCTGACTGGCAAACCCTCCTGGGCCTCCGGGTCTTGAGTTGTGCCTTGCTGGGCTTCAGCTCGGGCTGCTGCAGATGCTTCTGCCCTGGCCTCATCCAGCTCTTGCCGCAAGAGCTGCTGGAATTCTTTATAGCACTCACCCAATTTGGTATCCATGGTCAAGGCATCCAGGGGAGCTTTACCTGCCACCACAGCTGCTTTGAGATTGTCGTCAAAGACCGTGCCAAAGACTGACTCCTGGGTGCTGTTGATAAATCGAAAACCATGCGGTAATAAAAACTGAAAAAATACTATGTTAAACAAAATGGATGGCCCCACGGTCCTGAATCAGTTGCATAACGTGATCAGCAGAGCGTGACCACCCAGCTTTCCATGAGAGGTCCGCCGGGCTGTCCGGGAAACCGACCTTTCTTCGGAAGGCTTCGTGGGAAGCAAAGAGGTCTTTGAGAGCTTGGCGGTATTTCTCAGGCATCTCTTTGGCTTCAGTTGAAAGCAAGAAGTCGCTGATGAAGTAGTCTCTGAGCCTCATCTTGTATAAGACCAGATCGCACAGACCTTTGCCACCTGTAGCACCCTGGCCCGTCAACTGCCGCACAGACACTTCTCCTTCAAGAAGGCCAGCCAGTTTGGAATCGTGCATGTGCGTGAAAAGCCAAGCAACTTCTTCAAAGCGGGTAGACTTGGAGACCATGGCGTGCAACTTGCTGACAGAATCCCAAAGGCTCTTGCCACAAGCTTCTTCCGCCAGGATCACCTGCAGAATTGCGTCATGCCGCAAAGCACGGTCCATGACCATGGAAGAATGGCCCAGAAATCCTGCTCATATGGGTGATGGGTGGCCCAAAAAAAAAATCCTTCCTTTCAGTACACAAAAAGATAAACAGTAACAGGGGTCCTTTGGTAATCTTCTCCGACTTGGCGCTGAACTTGAGCTTCTCGTCATACAACTGCAGAAGCGCCTCTGGCGTGTAAGCCACGCCCATCGCCTCTCTCTTCTGCATGACGTCAAACACCCTCCGTGTGGGTGTGCGGGCGAGGAAGGACAGTTGGGTCTGATCCTCCCTCAGCTGCTGGGCCACCCACTCCATCTCTTGCGAGTCAGCTACAACCCTGATCAACACTGGGCAGGATAAACAATGACCTAGCCATTCCTGCAACTGATCACCCACTGCACCTGCTTCCACTTTCTGCGCTTCGGCGGCAGCTGCTTCGAAGAAGGCAATGATGGACTCTTCAGCACTGAGACGCTTCCAAGTGCCAAAGCCTGGCACAGTCTTTGAGTCCACCTCTCGCCGCAAGAAGCCCACAGTGACTTGCTGCTGGTCCAAACCATTCGGTGTAGAAAACCAATGGGACTTCACTTGGTCAATGGCGCCTTGACTGATTGGTATCTGCGGCGTGGCAGACCAGCTCTGGTCAAGCCACAAAGCATTCATGATGCAAAGGTACTTGCCTTCACGCTTGAGGCTTTCCAGAGCAGCCTTTTCATCAAAGGGCTGGCCAAAGCTGTGCGTGTTGGGGCGGAGCTGCACAGCATCTTCACTCACTGCCTGCTCTTTGAAACGTCGGACATTCTCTGCATGTTTTGCCCAAACTCCACCATTCAGGCAAAGCGCCTGTGAAGACACCCCCGGGCTGCCAGAAGCCAAGTTGGCCATGAGTGCCGGGTCTTGGCTGCCATTAGCTTTCGGAGTCTTGGCGGCAGCCTTGGCAGCCTTGGCCTTGGGCTCAGCAGTTTCAGGTAACAGCTCCGCGCCTCTCTTCGCTGCTGCCTTCTTGGGAGCCATGGCTACTACGCACCCACTCTGCAGAAACTCAGCCGTGGGAAGTAATAACTAAGTTGGAGGCACACTCACAGCTGGGCCAGGACTGCAAGGATCTTAAAATGTCTCCTGCTGAAATCAAGACGGTTGTACCATGCCATGCGTGTGACCCGTACTAAATTCGGGCCAACTGCAGTATTCAACGCGTATTTGACTGCCATGCTCGTGACCCGTACTAAATTCGGGCCAGCTGCAAGAGTCAACGCGTATTTGGCTGCCATGCTCATGAGCCGTACTAAATTCGGGTCCTCTGGGGGGTTCAAAGACCAGGACTGCCATGTTAGCACATGGTCAACCGTGTGAGAACACGGCGGCCAAACGCGTATTTGCCTGCCGTGCTACCACATGGCAGACCGTGCGCTAACATGGCGCAGCCTCCTTGATAAAGAAAGGAGGCTGCCATGTTAGCACATGGTAAACCGTGTACAAACACGGCGGCCAAACGCGTATTTGCCTGCCATGCTGTACATGGTGAACACGTGCAACACATGGCGGTCGAACTGCTTCCTGGAAATAGTAGGGAGAGGCCTTAGTAGCGATCTTTTTGATCTCAACTTGCTGCCCGCGGAAGGCAAAAATAGACAAGAGGAGACTGCAGAAGCCTCCTTGCAACATGAAACGTTCGGCCTGTACAGGACCAGGAGACCTCTTGCACCTCCTTGTACCTTGTTACTGAGTGCATTCAGAAGTACGATGCCTCCGTCCTCGCAGGAGTCTACTTGAGCCTCCTTGATTGCTATTGCAGCGCATGCCAATTGACAGCCGTAGTTGCAGCAGGACAGGATCCTTCCGCAATCAAAGTTGCCGAAAACAATTTCACCTTTTCTCTTCCGTCGTCGCGCACAGGAGACTTCGCTTGAACCTCCTTCGTGGACGAGTTTGCTTGAGTTAGGCGGGTGGCACTGACACACAGGAGATAGGTATCTTCATTTTTGACCGTCTCTCCTTGAATCGAATGAGCTCTATAGCGGACCTGCTTTTATTGAAGCTTTGGTGTGTGAACACACTGCAGGAATAAGGAGCTTCGCTAAGCTTCCTTGGCCATGCAGGAGACTGTGACTATGGCCTCCTTAGTATACTGTATCCCTGGCATGACAATGAAGTCCAAGCCCTCAGCTCCCACCCCGTCTGCACGCAAATTTTTAAACTCCTGCAGTTTGTGCGACAGAAACTGCATTAATTTACCCAGGCCCAGGCCCAACGACCGCCTGAACTTGAGTCTCCCCAGTCTTGCCAATGGCCTTTGTACAATGGAGCCCTTGGCTCCCAGCCGCCCTCATCATCGTCCTCGGGATCTTCCGGATCCCATTTGTTCTTGTTGTCGGCCCACCATACCGGCCTCCTTTTGCCACGGTTGGTCTTCTGGCGTTTGCGAGAAGGGTTCTTCCACGCCTTGTATAAGTCCTGGCACGGGCAAAGAATTGCAAACATTACAATTTATTGTTTTTTATTCCACAAAAACACCCCCCCCCCAAACAAGGCAAATATTGCGCCGAGACACGCGCTCCATATTCAAACATATACTCTTTCCTTGATATGCTTGCGCACCACAGACGCGGCAAGCCCTCAAATCCAGTCTCACTGCAGGTCTGGATTCCCCCGGCTCTCTTTCCACGTCCACGACAGCGGTGGCTGGAGTGGGTACCGCGGCAGCACTGCCAGGTCCAGCTGGCGGCGCTGAAACCAAGGGAGGCGGCGCAGGTGGTTCGGCACTGGCTGCCGCAGGAGGCAATCGGCTCCTTGATCGTCTCCAAGGCGGCTCCTCAGACTCCTCAGTTGGTCCAGGTGGGTTGGCGGCGGGCAGTGGTCCAGGTGTTGAACTTGACGCTCCGTGCGTTGGTGCGGAATGTCCAGGTGCTCCTACAGAAGGAGCAGCAGCTTCAGAAGCACTCGGCCCACTCAGCATTCCAGGCGGCGCGGTTGAGCCTTGGAGAATCTGCCAAATTTGGTGAGCAAGCTGCCCAGCCAGATTATTGGCTGCTGCTCCCGCAGGCACACCACTGCCAGTGCCGCTGCCAGGCTCAGAAGGCCTTGGCGGGGTTTCTGGCGCTGCCAACGCCACGGCCAGCCACAACAGCCAGCAGAGTCGCACCATGTCACTGCGACAGTCGGGAACACAGTTTGAGCGCTAAAAACGGCTGCGGAGAAACATGCATACATGGACCGTGCCGGTCAGAGTACAAGGTGGTGCACGTCAGTTGGCAACTGCCAAGTTTGCAACCTGATGTGGACTGTGGCGTCCCGTGCGCTGCTCCATTTTTCCGCCAAGGGAAGAAATCTTTAGACCGTGCAAGCACTAATAGGATGCAGCAATACCAGATCTACTTCGAGACTTGTCCTCGGAGCAGAAGACCCAGTGCTCGACAGCTTCACTCAAGCCGGTGAACTGCAGCCGCACTTGGGGAAAATCTTCATCCATTTGGTCATTGCGAAGGACAATGAGTTGGCGAGCCCTGGACACAGTCAGCTTCGCGATGGCGTCATCCAAGCCTTGTCGGTTCAGCAACTGGAAGTTGCACTCCTGAAGTTGCAGCACTTCAGCCAAGTCTGTGCACAATGCTCTGTTGCCATTGACAAAGGCAGGCGTCATGAAGAAGCTCCTCTTGACTTTGATCGCGGGTTTGAAAGCTAACGCCACCCCAAAGTGACCCTTGGTCTCCACAAACTTGGGACACGCAAGGATTCCACCCACGAGACCTGCAAAAAAACGTAGGGTAGGGGACACATTGGTGGGGTCTTGGCAAACAAAGATCCTCCCAGCATGCAAATCGCGGACAATAGTGGCATCTGCCGGAACATGCACGTCTGGGCAGAAGCCAACGTAGATTGGAGCTTGGTCGCACCATGCAGCCTGCGCCGTTGTCCAGATTAGTTGAAAATAATTTTCGGAATAATGAAAGCAAACAAAACTTAAAATTGACGAGTAACCTCTTTGTTGCTGACTCTGCTCTGGACCAATTTTTGATCATTGTTTCTTTGTCGTTGTGTCTTTGCTAGCTTCTCTGCGGTGGTCGCCACCAAAGCTCGGACAGCGTCAGTGATCTCCGATGAATGGATGACACCCAGCAAAGCTTCTTCAATTTGGGCCTTACTTTTTTTGTCAGCGTTAAACCGGAGTTCTGCCATCTGCTTCTCCCCAAACACTTCGGCTATGTCATCCGCAGAAGACACTGTTTTGGGCAGGCTTGCGGCGGCAGAGCTGCTGGATGCCAGCTGGTCATTGACAATCGCGCAGCCCTGCAGAAAACCAGCTTCACCATCTTTCAATTTTTTCCTGAACAAAGCAGAGAATGTTAATTGCAAGCTTGCAACTGGAAAATAATTACACAGCAGGAAAACACAGTCCTTGGGATGCACTTGTCCCACCGCTGAACTCTCTTCAGTGAACCACTTGCCCGGACTCGGCTGCAATGAGCAACCCAAACTTTCTTGGCAGCGCAGATCAGCTCCTTTTCTTCTCCTGCTCCAAATTCGGGGGACGAGACAACTTGTTGCAAAATCAACATGACTTCTTCCAAGGTAGCGTTCTCGTCTTGGGATTGACCCAATTGCTTGCTACCTTGCGCAGCTGAAAACCCACGCTCCACACCAGAGGAACTGCAGCTCCAGCAGGCCAATCGAGCAAGGGCTGGGATGAGCGCATCTGCGGAATGAACCATGCGATTCTTCTCTGTGCATTGAATTGCTTTCTTCCATGCGTAAAAATTTTCCAAGCCCTCTATTCTGGCATATTTGCTGGCAATGGGTAGGAAATGTTCGAACTCATATTTCAAAGATTCCTCCTCCACACCAATGGCCCGGGCCAACTTTTCAAGACAATTGGCTCGCTCACCACTTTCCAGCTGTTTCTTGAGCCTCGATTCATCCGAGAGGGAGAAAACACGCAGAGAGGACACCAGTTGAAAATGTGGGAATTCTCCTTCCAGCACAGATTCAGCCACAGCAACGTAAGCAGACATGCGCTTCAAACACTGACGCTTCAGCTCTTCTGTGACGGCATCTGCTCCTCCCAATTTGGCTCGAAATCCTGGGGATATCAGCAGCCGCTGCTCCGACAGGTGCTGCAACATGATCTTTGTCAGACCAACATGAAGGCAAGCTCCTTCCACAAAGAGCTTCCGGATCACACCTCGATACCGATCAAGCTCATATGGAAGTTCGGACTCATCACAGACATCTGTGTCGAATGCCCTCACCACTCTATGCAACTCAAGGGCCGCGTCCGCAAGCATGCTCAAAAGCAAAGCTTTTTCTGGCGTCAAAAACTGCAAGGTAGCAAGGCATGCTGCGCCTTCAGCCGAAGTTCGGCCTCTCATGTCTGGAACTGCGGTGAGCACACCAAGGACTGCATCCCAAGTCAAGACCAGTCGAGCAAGTACTTTGGACTCAGAGCTGTATCTTTGCCGTGCAAAAGCTAAGTCACGAATGCTCTTGGCAATGGGAACCTTTTCGTGACTTTTTTGCCGGAAGTCAGAGTACAAATCTTTGAAGACATGGCTATTGTTGATGAGTCGGGCAACAGAGTGCGGCTTCTCCACAAACTCTTCAATCACCTCCTTCAACTGCGGATCAGCTGCCCATGGGCGGCTCAACATTCTTTGCGCTGCGTGAGCGCGGTCTTTGCCAAGAACCTGAGGGAATCCAGGGAAAACCAAAATAATTAATATCCACACCACAAAGAAAAGCAATTGCGCCCCGCGCCTTCAAGTTCTGAAAAGATTGACCCATCACGTCCTGGAGCTCCACGATGTCTGGACCACTGATGCCCGCAAGGTCACGCATGGCCAGCTGTTCATCGCCAGCTGCGTCGGCAGCAATGCATTCCACTTTGCCCATCAAGGCCTGCAGCAAGTCATTGTCACACGGTTTCTCCTCCTTGGCTCCTGGTAAGAGTCCACCATAAGTTGGCGGAAGTGACGGCGTACAAAAATTTTGCAGGGCCTTCAAAGTCATCTGCCTGATAC